TTCCCTTGTGACAAGAATAACATCTATCTGCATGCTTATTCCTATAGCAGCATTGTATAATTTAGAGATACATCAAACCGATGTGATCAAGTCCACCATTTGGTTTTATCATCTAATTTTCGTTCTTCTTTTCTGCTTTTGCTTCCTACATTTTGCTGCATTAATTTTCAGTGAGAAAGAGCATAAACACAAAGTGTGTTCACTAGGCAATTAGTTGGTAGTGCTGCTACTAGTTGTCGTTGATCATTTCATCATGGGAGATAGACTTCCAATATCTGTGAGCACCTTAAAGAGGACGAATCTGTCTTAAGGACACATTGTTGAATACTAGACTTGATCAAAATTTCTGAGAAGATAATACTATAAGTGTGTAACTTACTTTCTTGTTTCATTGTTTTTCCTTTCAAGATTTTGTTTTGTTTTGTTTCTTTAACAAAATACGAATCTGTTTTTCTGTTTTTATTTTTTATATATTATGTTTTGATTTTTTGTAATCAAACAGACTCTCTCATTTCTTAATTCTTTCTTAGAATACAGTGAAGATTGTCTAACAAACACTGGTTTAATAAATCTCACTGTTCAAGATAAACGGACAGAGTTTATCTTGCGATGTCAACTAACATATTTGGAAAATATGAGATCGAAGGTACAAAACTATCAAAGTTATTATAAATCACTTATTCCTACCTTTTCTAACACGGAGAAGGATTTTCTCTAGTTTAGATTTTAGACTGGAGGACGCTTTTTGGGCCCGTGAATACTAGACTTGATCAAAATTTCTGAGAAGATAATACTATAAGTGTGTAACTTACTTTCTTGTTTCATTGTTTTTCCTTTCAAGATTTTGTTTTGTTTTGTTTCTTTAACAAAATACGAATCTGTTTTTCTGTTTTTATTTTTTATATATTATGTTTTGATTTTTTGTAATCAAACAGACTCTCTCATTTCTTAATTCTTTCTTAGAATACAGTGAAGATTGTCTAACAAACACTAGTTTAATAAATCTCACTGTTCAAGATAAACGGGCAGAGTTTATCTTGCGATGTCAACTAACATATTTGGAAAATATGAGATCCAAGGTACAAAACTATCAAAGTTATTATAAATCACTTATTCCTACCTTTTCTAACACGGAGAAGGATTTTCTCCAGTTTAGATTTTAGACTGGAGGGCGCTTTTTGGGCCCGTGATGCCTACCACAGGCCTCCTTTCGATGATCTAAATCATTTATTTTGTCAGTCACTTCGTACATTTTGTCCACAAAAAAAAAAAGAAAAAAAAAGAAAAGAAAAGGTAAGTCGATCCAATAATTATAATTTGTTCAATTTTTCACTTAAAAAAATAGACAACAATTGTGTTTTTAAAAATAAATCGATCCAATAATTATAATTTGTTCAATTTTTCACTTAAAAAAATAGACAACAATTGTGTTTTTAAAAATAAATCAAATCTTTTTTTAGTGACAAACGCAATAAATTGAACAGGTTATAATTATCGGATAAACCTAATTTTTGTGTGGATGAAATAGACAAAGTGCTTGACAAAATAAACGTTTCGGATTATCAAAATAGGGCCCGTGGTGGGTCCCACGTGCCCAAACCGCGCTCTCTAGTCTAGATTTTGGACTAGAGGGAATCGTCCTCCTTCTAAAACAATGTTATTTTCAATAATTTTATAGAATAATGGAGTTAGGATGATTAAAAATTATATAGCATCATGTCAAGACCGTATTTATGCACTTATCATACATGTACTAGTTATGCTATGTCAAGTAGATTGTGCATTGTTGGTGACCTTTGTTTTAAATATAGATTGATTTGAAGAATGTCTATACCTTTTAAAATGTAACAAAAAAATTAATATAATATGTAAGTACAACTTTTTACTTTATAACATTTTATAAAGGCAAACTATATATGTTTTCCATGAATTATAGTACCAACTATCATGTTACCAATGCATGAATGCTGATAAAAAACTCATAACGATTGAAGTTATAATTAAAATAGATTTTATTTATTTAGTGAATTTCAAACAAATGTGATTAATTTTAATTTTTATTATATTTCAATTATAAAATGTCAATATTTTTTTTTTATAATTACATGAATTTTATGTTAACAATTAAAAAATATATTTAATATAACAGTAAGTAATTTTTATAAATCTTATACCGTACATAACACGGTGATATACTATTAAGGACTTATAAGAAGGGGAAAGCACCATTAAATCCCTAATTTGGGAATATTATCCCATTTAGTCCCGACGTTTTTTTGTTGGACTAATAGGTCCTATTTTATGTGTAAAGACATTAGTACCCATTTTTTTACGCGTATGGGCCAGTAATTGAGGGGTAATTTTGGGGAAAGTGCTTATGTGTCATTTACTGAACTGCCCAAGCGTATGAACTGATGTTTATGTGTAATTTTGGGGGAAAGTGTTTATGTGTAATTTACCGATTCTGATGTTTGAAACACCCACAAACATCAAGAACATTCAAAACAAACATTGTTTCTGCCCAGCATGAAGACAATGTTTAAACATCAACAACATCAAACATCAACAAAACATCATCAAACATCAACAACATCAAACATCAACAAAACATCAACAAACATCATCAAATATTGTGAACATCATCAACATCATCAACATTGTGACCATTATTAACATCAACTACATCTTTACCAATATATTCGAACATCATCATCAACATTGTGAACATCATCAACATCAACTGCGTTTGTTGGCCGCTTTTTCTCTGAAACCCTAACCCTAACGCTAAGGTCTGCAACAATAGTGGTGAAAGCTTCCAAGGCCGAGAGGAAAAGCTCCTACAACACTAAGCTGTGCAGGCTTCTCGATATCTACTCTCAGATCTTGATCGTCGCCGTCGATAATGTCGGATCGAACCAGCTTCAGAACATTCGCAAGGGACTGCGAGATGAGTCGATGGTGTTGATGGGGAAGAACACTATGATGAAACGTTCCATTCGAGCACATACTAAGAAGACCGGTAGCACCGCTTTCCTTAGTCTCGTTCCCCTCCGACTCCGAAGACTTCCTTAACTCTTTGCCCGCTCAATTCTCCTCCGATCCGAGCCGCGACGCTTCCACGATCCTCAATTCCGCCGATCAGGAGATTTCTGAGGTCAATGTTGATGATGTTGATGTTTATGTTGATGATGTTTCTGAGGTTAATGTTGATCCTCAATTCTGCCGATCACCTTCTTCTCCGATCTGGAATCAAGGGTTCGGATGTTGAAGTTGATGATGTTGTTCAATGGTGGGTTTTGAATTTTGTTTAACTTCAATTAGAGAGATTGGGTAAAAATGTAAACTTTATATACAATATATCAAAAACATATATCATACCAAAAATAAAAAAAGGACTAAATGGTTTAAGAAAAAGCACTTAGAACTAATTAGAGCAACATTTATTAAAATGGGATTTATTAGTAATTTTTCCTTACACGAAAGTCCCAAATGAGGTCTTAACCAAAAAGGAAATAAAAAGTTGATTTGGTAACATCCCTCTCTCAACTAATGAGCAGGGTGGCGCTAGTATATACGAAGAGGTGTCAGCAGAACCCTCCAATGAATTTTTTATTTTTTAATTATATAGTTATTGAAGTAAAGGTAAAAAGTCTGCCTTAAGGACTGTGGAGATGACGAATCTGCCTTAAGAACATATTGTTGAACACTAGACTTGATCAAAATTTTTGAGAAGATAATATTGTAAGTGCATAGTTTACTTTCTTGTTTCATTATTATTCCTTTCAAGATTTTTTTTTTGTTTTTTAACAAAATAAGAATCTATTTTTCTATTTTTTTGTTTTTATATATTATGTTTTGATTTTTGTAATCAAACAGACTCTCTTCTCTTTTAATTCTTTCTTAGAATACAGTGGAGATTGTCTAACAAACACTAGTTTAATAAATCTCATTATTCAAGATGAGATCAAAGGTACAAAACTATCAAACTTATTATAAATCACTTATTCATACCTTTTCTAACAAGGAGAAGGATTTCCTCTAGTTTAAACATTAGACCGGAGGGTGCTTTTTGGGCCCGTGATGCCTATCATAGGCCTTCTTTCGATGATCTGAGCTGTTTATTTTTTCAAACACTTCGTACATTTTTCTACAAAAAAAAATTAAGTCGATCCAATAATCATAATTTGTTCAATTTTTCACTTTAAAAAATAGACAACAATTGTGTTTTTAAAAATAAATCAAACCTTTTTATAGTGACAAACGCAATAAATTGAATAAGTTGTAGTTATCGGATCAACCTAATTTTTTTGTGGACGAAATACACGAAGTGCCCAACAAAATGAATGATTCAGATTATCAAAATAAGGCCCGTAGTGGGTCCCATGTGCCCAAACAGCGCTCTCTAGTCTAGATTTTGGATTGGAGGGGATCGTCCTCCTTCTAACACAATGGAGTTAAGATGATTAAAAATTATATAACGTCATGTCAAGACCGTATTTATGCACTTATCACATATGTACTAACTATGTGATGTCAAGTAGATTATGCATCGTTGGTGACCTTTGTCTTAAATATTGATTGATTTAAAGAATATCTATGCCTTTTAAAATGTAACAAAAAAATTAATATAACATGTAAGTATGACTTTTTTACTTTATAACATTTTATAAAGGCAAACTATACATGTTTTCTATCAATTATAGTACTAACTATCATGTTACCAATGGATGAATGCTAATAGAAACTTACAACAATTGAGATTATAATTATAAGATATTTTTATTTATTCAGTGAATTTCAAACAAATATGATTAATTTTGATTTTTATTATATTTTAATTATAAAATGTCAATATTTTTTTTTATAAATTTTATGTTAATAATTAAAAATTTATTTAATATAATCATAAGTAGTTTTTATAAATCTTATACCATACATAACACGGTGATATACTAGAATGGACTTATAAGGTGTTGTTTGGGAAGGAAAAGCCGGGCTAAATTAGCCACGTCGCGACGAAGTTAGCTATTTCAGCCACGTCCCGACAAAAATGCATTTCACAGGTATGGGAGAGGCTTGGTCGTGTAAATTTACCCAAATGCCCCGATAGGTTAAACTCTCTTCCATCTGCAGGACAAGCCTCAGATTGAACCCAATACACCCTTCGCAAAGCAGAAGAGAAGAAGAACGGAGCTATCTAACGGCATCTGAGCGACCTTGGCAGAGGAAATCGCCACTGGAGTACGCATCCGCGGTGGCGAACAACAACGAAGCCTCTCAAACTCAAACCGATCTGCAGGTAATGCTCTATGGCCTATCTGATTTCTCTTCTTCTTCTTCCCATCTGCATAGTTTAGGTTCATAACAGCATCAGTTCATGGCCGATCTGTTGCTTTACGGTCGTGATTGGGTTGATTACGCTTACATTACACACAGACAGGGCACCGATCTGTCTCTGTGACAAATTTGGGATTCTGGATCTGTTGTTATGTTCAAAATTTGTTCGGTAATCACAAATTTGGGGCAGATTTGTATATATACATACATATATATATATATATATATATAAAATATATCTGTTATTCTTAAAATATTTGTTCTTATTTATGAAAATCAGATCTGTTGATCTTATATATCTGTTCTGAATCACAAATTTAGGGCAGATTTATGAAGGCACCGTTGTTTAAACTGAAGGAAATGCCAATGTTATATATCTGTTCTGATGTACAAATCTGTTCTATATTTTTTGTATCTGTTCGGTTATATTTTGAAATGCAGATATATCTGTTTGGTTATCACACATTTGGGGCAGATTTGTTATATTTTTTTGTTTATAATCAATGCTGAACCTTGAATTTTTGCTAATAGAAATGGTCAATTCCTGTGTGGGTGATTTTCCGACCACACTGCCCGCTTAGTAACCTGCTGGAGAGCACTGGTAGAATAGATGGCACCTGACGGACCTGCAACAGAAATATAAGAATCCCGTGGTGGTTTCGACCACCCGGGGGCACTCCGACGATCAAGTCAGTATATCTCTTAAAGATAAATCAAGTACTAAACTCACAAGCTTGAGTATCAAAAGCATACCTTAAACCCATGGGGGTGCCTCTCTTTTATAACCAACATAAACCTAGTCCCAATAGAAGCCTGACTTCTATGGACTCGGGATTGCTACTAACCTGGGACTCTCATTGAGATTAGGATAAACTCTCTAAGAGTCTTATCTTTACCCAAACTGAAGTCTTCTCCCAATCTAGGACTCTTGTCCATATCCAAGTTGAGTTCCCTCTTCATTCTAGGACTCTTGTCCCTTATCCGCTTATCTCGGATTCCAATATCTTCGGAGATAACCTGCCTAGCTGAGATCACCTCGGCGTCACGACCAGGACACGTGGCACCTCGGCTGACACGTCGGCGTCACCTTGCCACGTGTTGGTACTCAGAAAATATATCCCCACAACTGCCCCCTAGGTTCTATTACCTCGGCATTCTGAGGTGATGGAACCTACACTGTTCGTTCATCTGTGCCCCTCCATTTGAGATCAAAATTTCCGTAGACTTTACTGTCCACTAGTGTCAAGAGTCAAGTTTCATGCTTTCCAAGCTGCTTGAAATCGCACCTCCTAGCCGAGGTTCTTCACATACTTACCTAGTGCCTGTGCATTTGGCTTTATTCATGAACTTTGTTGTCTTCTTGACTATTTCTCTTTTCTCATTTAATCCTCTGGCTTCTTCTCTTTCTAGCTCTTTTGCTTAAATCCGTCATTTGTTCCAAGCTTTCAAGCTTCTGCAACTGTCTTCGTTTCTCTCCTCCGGTGAAGCTTTACGTCATTCTGTCATTGTCGTCAGACTTCGGCAATTCTCATTCCGGCTTCCCTCTTTCTGGTAAGCCACTGTTCCCCTTGGTTTTATTTCTTGTTGCTTTCCAAGAAGCTCTGCTTCATTGTTAATCACCATTGTTTGTTTTACCCGTTATTTCCAAATCATCTTCTTAAATACACACTGTTCACACATCTGTTGACTTCTACCACTGTTCTTGGCTTGACACACTTGTGCAATCTTTTTGCCTTGATTTCTTGATAGCTTCATCATCATTCTTGATTACGAATTACATTCATGTTTCTGTTTTCTATGTCTTTTCCCAGATTTTTGCTTTCAATCCTTGCTTTCAAAATTCCGAGATGCCAATCGCCAATAAGAGCTTTGATCAAACTCTTCAGGAGGTTGATGCTGAGCTCGTGGCTGAGAAGGCTGCTGAGAAGTTCTTCCAACTGTCTTCTGGGGGTGAGACACAACCTACCGCTGATGCCGAGTAGTTTGCTTCCTTCTTGAAATTGATGCCGAGGTAGCGGTAGAGAAGCTCCTCCAACTGTCTGCCGAGGCTGAACCATTGTCGTCCGTCAAAGCAGATTAGTCCGAGGTTCTTGCTTTCAGTCCCTAGTTCTTTAAGGTCTTCATTTTTGTACTTGCTAACCTTCTCAGCTCTTAATAAGCTAGTTGGTCATCCCGGTTGATCATATCTCGGAAACATCTTTCAATGTTTATCTCGGCTATACCAAACTTGTAAATTGCTACAAATTTCAACAAGTGGTAGACTTCATAATCTTTGGTTAACTCATTTTGTAATTTTGCTCAAAAATTTCAACAAGTGTTAACATTCCTTGCTCCTTAATTATCATTCCTTCCCCCTACACCTTCTCCCTGCCCCTTAATGTGAATGTAAGTTGTACTTAGGATCACATTTAGGGAAGTGGGCTTTGTGCTATAGTCACAGACCTGATGTGTTCTTCTTTTGCCGATGTATTAAAACTTCTGGTATTTAATTCACCCATTTTAGACCCTCTTTCTCTTGGCCTTTGCAAACTATCATCGCTGTTTCTTGAAGCATTTATTCCTTTCACAATTCTGGTCACCACTTCTGGCGTGCACTTAGTGGTTCTAATCAAAACGACGTTTGACTCCGGCGAATCTTTTGCCGACACTTAACTTTGTGCACTCTTTAACTTGTAAATTCGCTTAGAATTTCAACAAGTGTTAAACATCATTTCGGTTTAACTTCGGTTAAGTATCATCTCAGTTTAACTTCAGTTAAACATCACCGCAGTTTAACTTCAGTTAAACATCATCTCGGCTTAACTTTGGTTAAGCATCATCTCAGTTTTTGAAGTTTTCTCTTTTTTTGTCGCTTGTGCTCTTGTACCTTTTTGTTCTTTAGATAATGTAAGCTCTGTATATGGCCGATGTGCCTCATTGTTCTTGAAATTCAATTTTCCTTCTCTGAATGGAGCGCTCTTCGTCGCCCTCCTGGACGAGGATTTTCTTCAGTGTCTCTTCACTTTTTTTGGCTGGCTCCTTGCCGACATCATCTAGGACCTCCATGTCCTCGTCTTCAATCTCTGCCTTCCCTGGTTCCTGAATGTTTGCAGGTAGTTTTCATTGCTGCCATGGAGCAATTCTTTGCCTGCAGTTGGTCTCTTCTGACTTCTTCAATCCCATGTTCTGTGGGGAACCGCAATAGTTGATGCAACGTTGAGGGAACTATCCCCATTGCATGCAACCATAGCCTTCCCGAGATGATGTTGTAAGGTGAAGGCGTGTCAATCACGACGAATTATGTTTTTGATCTTCTTCTAACTGCTCTTGCACGATTCTATACTTAGAATATTTTGTATGCCTTTCATACTTTGCCTCCTTTGTGCAATCTTCTCGGGGTCACATATCTTGGGTTTAATAACTACAAGTTTTACTTCGGCAAGATACTGACCTGCAAATTAGCTTTTTCCTCAACCTGTAAATTGCTGCAAATTTCAACAGATGATCATATGTCGGCTTAACGTTATCTTGTAAATTGCTACAAATTTCAACAAGTGTTAACTGTAACAGGGATCAACAAGGATTAGCATAACAAGTGTTTAAACAATAATCTATTTGTAAATTGCTACGAATCTCAACAAGTGTGTAAATATACTTAGCTCTTTCCTCAACCTGTAAATTGCTGCAAATTTCAACAGATGATCACATGTCGGCTTAACATTATCTTGTAAATTGCTACAAATTCAAACAAGAATTAACATAACAAGTGTTAAACAATAATCTATTTGTAAATTGCTAAGAATTTCAACAAGTGTTTAAACAATATACTTAGCTTTTACCTCAACCTGTAAATTGCTGCAAATTTCAACAAGCGG